AAATTTAATAAAGAAAGATCATTTCTAATATTTTCTAACCAAGTCTTTTTAGGTCTACCTCTACATTTTTTAACATAAGTCAAATATAATACCTCAACTTTCCTAACTGGGGTCATCGGAAGGCCTCCTTTTAATGTGACCAAACCATCCAAGGCGACTCTCTCTAATCTTATCTTCCACTGGAGCTACTCCAAAATTTTCATGTATATGCTCATTTCGTTTCCAATACATGATGATGATTAATGCGCAACGTTACAAGAGAAAGAAAGAAAGTTATCTACACAACAAGCGAGCTCTCGTTAAAATGTCGTAACTTCCAATCCAATATGAAGGGAAGGTAGTCGAATGAGCGGAGTCGAACAAGTTACCTACATAGCAAACGAGCAAGCATTAATGTGGAAGCTAGGTCATCGAAGTAGCGAAGTCAAATAGCACAAAAGGGAGAAAGTTACCTGCAAAGAAGGAGCAAGTCGAACCGCTTCGAAGGAGTGAAGTCGAACGAATTTGAAGGAGCAAAGTCAAACAACGAACAAGGAGAAAGTCGAACCGCGATGAAGGAGCGAAGTCGAACACCGACGAAGGAGATAGTCTAACCGCGATGAAGGAGCAAAGTCGAACAGCGTCGGAGCAAAGTTGAACAACAAAGTCAAACAGCAAAGTCAAACGTGTCGAAGGAGTGAAGTCGAACAGCGAAATCGAACAACGTCGAAGGAGCAAAATCGAACGGTCGAACGATCGAAGGAGCGAAGTCGAACAATGTCGAAGGAGGAACAAAGGAGGAACAACATCAGAGGAGCGAATTCGAACAAAGCAGTGAACAGAGGAAATGAGAAGGCAACCCTAGGGGTTCACCCGATATAAGATTATTACCGATGTTTTTCCAGCAGACTATCCGACGGTCGGTTTACCGGTGGAACTTTTGCCGGTATTATTTCGTCATGTTTTAGTTAAGCCGACGCAAAATGTTCGCCGCCAGAAAGTCCGCCGTAAAGTTTCTGGCGAACATTTCCGCCGGTAGTTTGGTCACAGTTTCCGGCGTATATTAATCCACCGGAAAATTCTGACAGTAATAAGTCATTTTCCTGTAGTGTAACAAAGTCAAACCTGAGAAAGAAGTCCCAATTACATATAATCATTTTAAACTCTCAAAAGGATTGATCATATTGCTTATATAATAACATTTTCAGCTCACATGTTTAATGTTTTAAATGTTTTTCATGTGTTAATATTAATGTTGAGACAATGTGTTACTAATATGGATTAGGGAAGACCACATGATGAAATTATGGTGTAGAAATATCTAAAATATATTGAAGAACATGAAAAAAGATTGGACTTCGTTGTTAGAAGGCTAAGAAGCAAACAAATACATCATGCGAAGGTGAAATATAGACACATATTATAAAAAGAAGCAACTTGAAAAAAAAATCAAAACAAAGAATAATTGTTAAGAAAAAGAATTTTGAAGATAAAATTCTATTAAGAAGCAGAGAATTATAATATCAAAAAAATATTAACATGGAACATCGAAATTTATACTTAAAAAATAAACTATTTTTCATGTCTTAAAAATCATAATTTTTTTTTATAAAATTCTAAGTTTTATTTATATCACTTTCATTGGTAAGTATGTTAGCTTTTATTAATTACTTTCTTTCTTAATATGTTATCCTAAAGTCTTGATTACTTGAATAATTAATAACATTTCTATCAACGATAGAATGAATTAGAGATTTGACCATTTGATCAGCTTCATGAGTTTGCAGCTAGCTATCAGGATAGCAGCATCACTAAGACGCTTCTATGTTGTTTTCATCCAACATGAATCAAGCAAAGTGAAACCACAATTAATATTTATTTTGTTGAAAAAGATTATTTAAAAAGTTTAGTTACCATATGCGACTCAATGACTTCATTTATTTCTCATTCGTCAACTTTCTTTATAACTCTTTCTTTGAAGAAGATGAATAAAAAGAAAATTTTAGGACATTTAAGCCCTTTATACAAATTCATATACATATCATATAATCTCTTAAGTAAAAACTCTACCAATATAAAAAAAATTGCGTAAATTGATAATAAATATCAAAAGTAAATTTTTATATAATACCTAAATAATATGTTAAATGATGACATATTAACTTCCTATTGAATTATGAATTAATAAATTGACATACATATAAAAAAAAAATTATACAAGATCTAAAGTGACAAGTAATAAATTGAATCCAAAACAATATTGAATATAGAAATTGCAAAAAGTATCATCCATCATGTTCAAGTCCAAATTTTCTTTTTTATTGATTCTCTACTCATTAACATTTAATTCTTAATAAAAGCTTAAATAGTTGGCAACAACTTAGACATTATCTGCATTGTCATCACTGAGGTGATCTTTATATGAGTTGTTGCATAACAAATCGGTCTATCTTTGATTCACTCGGTAGAGTCGAACACCTCCCAATATGCTTCTTTTAAATTTATTTCAATCATATTCATCTTTTAGAAATATTTTTATCAACATAAATATGAGATTAATGCTCCAAAATTTTTAGGGTGGTTGTGTACAGCTTTCAAGTGATTGTCGGTGACGACTATATGGTGTTGGCTATGGCGAAGGTCGCGGGATGGTGGTAAAGGCAATCGAGAAGAAGTTGTTGCGCTCGAATGTGCATGAAGGTGTGATTTATGTTAGTTTTAACAAAGAAATATACAAATAGGGTGAGGCGTAAGCCTCACGCTAGAGAGGCGAGGCGTGCCTCAAGGCATACCTCAGCCAAGCTGAGGCGCAAGCCTCATAAAAAAGCTAGAGGCGTAAGCCTCGAGGAGTTTTTAACTAGGATTGCGCTGAGGCGGGCCTCAAGACGAGCCTCATATTGCACAATCTTAAACAATGTCACAAAGTTTGATGACACAAGAGCCTACATTAGATCGATGATTATAAAAGAACTTTAGTAGATAGAATTAAAGAATCTTCGGAGGTAGTAGTGAGTATTAAAAATTATTAGAATTTATTTGAGCAAATTCATTAAATGAGGCAGAAGAATACTTTTGATGAAGAATGCATTTTAATGTATACGTTGCATTTATGGGTTCCGAGTGATTTAGATCATAGGAAAATAATTTTGTAGGAAACTTATCACTCAATATATGTGATTTATTTAAGTAAAAAGATGTAGAAATATTCAAACAAGTATTTTGGTTGTCAAACATGAAGAAAGATGTTACTAAAATTGAAATGTGTTAAATTGTTAAGATTGTACATCATATATCAAGTGGATTGTTATAGTCGTTATCTATTTTAGAGTTAAGTGGGAAGAAATTATATTAAACTTCTATGAGATTTCCCAAATGCAGACAAAGTCATGATTGAATTTTGGTGATGTTTAACATGCTGACTAACTTCATTCACTTTTTGCTTATCAAGCAAATAAATTCAATTGAGAAACTTATAAGAGTGTATGTGAATTAGATTATTAGAGTACATGGCATATGAAAAGTAATTGTATATGATAGAAATAACAACTTTACTTCTTAATTATGGAAAAGTATATAAATTTTTTTGTTATATCTCATTATAGTATTTCATCCAAAAACTAATGGTCAGTTAGAAAGGATTACACATGTGTTGGAATATTTATTAAAATTATATATTTTAGATTTTAGAGGTAGCTCTGAATCACATTTACTTATAATAATAGCTATTAATCTAGTATTAAGATGACATCCTATGAAGAATTATATGACAAAAAAGTATAGAATTCCATTAAGCTAGGTTGAACTGGGAGAAAGATAACAAATGGGTTCATAATTAGTTGATGAGTTTACAAAAAAATAGACTACTTAGAGATAGATTAAAAGTTATTGAGGATCATCGACATAAATATTATGAACTAATGCAAAATTGTAAAATTTGATGTTGGTGATTTTTAACTTGTAAAAATTAGAATTATGAAATGTATAACATAGTCAAACCTGAGAAAAAAGTCCCAATTACATATAATCATTTTAAACTCTCAGAAGGATTGATCATATTGATTATAGAATAACATTGTCACCTCACATGTTTAATGTTTTAAATGTTTTTCATGTGTTAATATTAATGTTGAGACAATGCGTTACTAATATGGATTAGGAAAGACCACATGATGAAATTAAGGTGTAGAAATATCTAAAATATATTGAAGAACATGAAAAAAGATTGGACTTCGTTGTTAAAAGGCTAAGAAACAAACAAATACATCATGCGAAGGTGAAATATAGACACATATCAAAAAAATAAGCAACTTGAAAAAAAAAAATCAAAACAAAGAAGAATTGTTAAGAAAAAGAAATTTGAAGATAAAATTCTATTAAGAAGCAGAGAATTATAATATCAAAAAATATTAACATGGAACATCGAAATTTATACTTAAAAAATAAACTATTTTTCATGTCTTAAAAATCATATTTTTTTTTTATAAAATTCTAAGTTTTATTTATATCACTTTCATTGGTAAGTATGTTAGCTTTTATTAATTACTTTCTTTCTTAATATGTTATCCTAAAGTCTTCATTACTTGAATAAGTAATAACATTTCTATCAACGACAGAATGAATGAGAGATTTGACCATTTGATCAGCTTCATGAGTTTGCAGCTAGCTATCAGGATAGCATCATCACTAAGAAGCTTATATATTGTTTTCATCCAACATGAATCAAGCAAAGTGAAACCACAATTAATATTTATTTTTGTGAAAAAGATTATTTAAAAAGTTTAGTTACCATATTCGACTCAATGACTTCATTTATTTCTCATTCGTCAACTTTCTTTATAACTCTTTCTTTGAAGAAGATGAATAAAAAGAAATTTCTAGGACATTTAAGCCCTTTATACAAATTCATATACATATCATATAATCCCTTAATTAAGAGTAAAAACTCTACCAATATATCAAAATGAGCCACCGTTCGGCACCATTTTAAAAAAATTCAAACCCAAACACCATATTATCCCGGTTCGAAGGCTCCCTGCCGTAGACCGCGGTTTGGCACGAACCGATCGAACAATTTCATCGCGTTTCCTAACAAGCGCCAGCAAGTCTGTCTAAACACGGAGAAATGGCTTTACCTTCTTCTATCGATCAGTCGTTGATCCTACTCGGCGTTTTCTTGCTTCCCCTCAACCTTCTCTCTTTCATCTATGGCTCCCTCCGGCGTACCGATGGGCGGGAAGCTCGATACTTCCGACCAGCAATCATTTCCGCTTTTCTCATCTCTCTTTCGACGATCCTTGCCCTCTCCGAACTCGATCCTTCCCCGTTGAAGCAACCGATCTCAGAGTTGAACGAGATGAAGGCCCAGGTCACCAAATTGGGTAATTTTATGCGTCTTTTTCTCATATCATTTTCGGTATGATACGATTTTGGAGAGGGAGAGAAAGTTTTGAGTTTTAAATTGGATTTCAATGTGTTCTGTTTAGTTTGATGTAGATTGAGGTATTCTGATATCGGAATGCTAGCTATTTTTTGATGCAGAGCTCCTTTTGGAGGAAAAAAATATGCTCTTAAATTCAAGAATTCTTGAAATTGAAAAGAGCAAAAAGTTGATTGAGGAGATGGATGGGAAGATTGAATTTCTGCAGAGAACATTGAATGATGTTAAGGTGCGGTTTTCATATATTACAAAAATTTAGTTCCTTAGCGCATTTCTTCTAGCAGGAGCAATTAATTATTAGAAAATGTACTTCATCGTTGACTTTTGTTCTACATGTGAATAATTGGCCAAACCCTAATTTTATTTCATTAACTGCGATGCAAAGATAAAGATAGTGGCAACATGTCCCAAACTTCTGCATGGATATTTGTATGGATCACTATAGAAGTATTTCCGAACTTGATTTGCCACAAATGCTACTTTTACTCCTTGTACTCACCGACCTTGCCAAGATCTTACATTCTGGTTGTTTGTACTTTAGATTGGAACTGATGTGATTAGAATTGAGGATGAAATGGTTTATCATGGCTTGATTGAGTTTGTCTTAAACTTAAACTAAACAACTACTTGCATACATTAATTCATGCTTAGTCAATCCTAATTTTACTGATATGATGGATAGTTTAATTCAATTGGCATCCTTGATATGATTTCAAACTTCATAATTCATGATATATAGATGTAGAGTAGAGTATTTTTCGTGAGTTATTGGGAGGGGAGTTCTTAGTGGTTAAATATTATTATTAAGATCTTGATCTTTAGCAATACTTGTAATACCCATGGTTTAAAATTACGCAATATGAGGCTCGCCTTTGCGCAATTCCAGTAAAAAACGCCTCGATGCTTACGCCTCGAGTTTTTTTTTTATGAGGCTTGCGCCTCAACTTGGTTGAGGCCCGCCTTGAGGCCCCTCCTCGCCTCACTGGCATGAGGCTTACGCCTCATGCCATATATATTAAAACTTACATAAATCTTGAAGAAAATTCCCGACATTGGACTCTATAAGAGAGGAGGAAGGGGAGAGAGTAGTTCACCATAATGATGTAACTTAGTGATGACAGTGTTGATGACGTATGAGTTCTTATGTGATATTTCATTGCTATTTATTTTTGGAAATTGGAATTATATGTTAATGAAAAGAATACTAGGATTTGAGAAAGATAGAATTTTGAGTTGAACTATATTTCATGTTGTCTTATTATTGAGATATTTTGATTTCACTTCATATCTTATGCTTTTTTATATTTTATATTATTCACTCATTAGTATATAAAAATTTGATCATTTTATGTTTACGCAATCTTTTGATTTTGAGGCTTACGCCTCAAAACGCCTTGAGGCTTATGCCTCGCCTCACAAATGAAAAAGCCTCAATGCCCGAATACGCAATTTTAAACATTGGTAATACCATAAGAGGAGAATAATATAGCTAACTGCAAGAGATTAAGAGAAGAAAATGTTCCGCCAATTATACTTGTTGGATCGAAATCTGTTTGTGGATAACACTCGACTTTAATAGCAGACGAACTTTATGAGGGGTGATCTGGAACCTATGTGAGAATGGAGAGAACTTAATATTTTAGAAAATATTCGTGGAGAAGTTTTCATGGGGATCAAAATCTCAAATAAGTTAAAAGTTACAAAATACTCATTTTCACCCTTTATTCATAGGGGTCTAAGAGCTATAAGAAAGGCTACTTCTGAAAGAATAAAATATACATTAACTAAATGACTCTCAGTATATTCTGCTCTGTGTTGCCTCTTGATTGGTTGAAGGGGTTGGCATTGAATGGCTTTTAATGATCTGTCTTTGGGGTGAGTTCAGTAGTGTTGAGTAGGTTCAATTGAGTACGATTGGGGTGTCCATCAGCGAGTGTCGAGTTGAGGAAGCTTGTGACTGGTAGGTTTTCTGAGGTTATTGACAACTTGTGATGGGGCCTGGGGTCACCTTAGAAGAGGAAGACAAGTGAGTTTTTATTGCGGAAACGAAGAGCTTAATGTTGGACGGCCGTGGAAAGTCGAATTGAGGTCCCCAAGAGTAGACACGTTCATGTAGTTAAGCTTTGGATAGCATGAACGAGGATACTTGCTATGGATGACAGCGAGTGACTCTGGTGGTTGACTTCTTGTGTGGCAAGGGATGAGTCGCTTGGTTTGTGAGGAATCCTGATAACCACCTATGAGTGACGACTCCTTTTGTAAGCCCATGCAAATAATGCCTGTTGATTATTGAGATAAGTTCTTCTATAATATTGATTTAGAGAAAGCATATGATAAATTTCCAAGAGAAGTGCTATGGAGAGTTATAGAAAAAAATGGGGTTAATAATGTTTATATTCAAGTCATTAAGGATATGTATGCAGGAGTTGTTACTTGTGTTCAAACACAAGGTGGTTTAACTAAGTATTTTCCTATTTTAGTTGGATTACATCAAGGATCAATCTTAAGCCCATATCTTTTTGCTTTAGTCATGGATGTTCTCACTAGACATTTGTAAGAGGTTGTAACTTGGTGTATGCTTTTTGTTGATGATATTTATTCTTATTGTTAAGTCTATAGAGGGAGTTGAAGGTAAACTTGAATTATGGAGGTCAACCTTAGAGTCTAAAGGCTTTCGTTTGAGTATATCTAAAATTGATTATATGAAGTGTAATTTTAGTAATAATAGATCTAGTGGGGGGATTGTGACTTTGGGCGATCAAGTCATTAATAATAGTACACATTTTAGTTATCTTAGGTCTATTGTTCAGTTTGATGGTGAAAAAGATGGGGATATTATTAGTAGAATTCAAGTTGGATGGTTGAAGTGGAGGAATACATCGAGCTTGTTGTGTGATAGAAAAGCCCCCCTCAAACCTATGGGGAAATTCTATAAGATGGTGGTAAGACCTACAATGCTTTATGGTGCATAATATTAGGAATTAAAAGAGAAATGAGGATGCTCAGGTGGATGAGTGGCTTTACTCTTAGAGACATGATATGAAATGGTCATATACGATTCAAATGAGAATTTTCCCTAAAGGATTGGTTAGAAAATATTAAAAATAATCCTTCTTTATTAGATTTAAATGAGAATGACTCTTAACACGTGAAGAAAAAGAATTCATGTAGCTGACCCCACAGAATGAGATAAAGGCTTGATGTTGTTGTTGGTGCTAATTTCTATCTTCTCGTTGAAGATATATTTTAATAGCATTTCTTCCCTCACTTCGTCCTCACCATTTATTTGATTTAACATTAATTGTGAGTTAGAATATGTAACTAATTGAGTCGTCTCCAATGCTGAGACGAGCAAGGTCTCGTACTCTGCTTGATTATTAGTTACTTTGAACTTATATTTTGATAGCTTATGTATTGTCGATTTCAATTAGGCTCTTCAAAACCATGCCCGCACTGAATCCCTGCTTACCCCAAGCTCCATTGATGTAGAGCATCTAATACTACAACTGAGCCGTCGCTTCATGCTCGTTGCCCTTTATTAAAGTTGGCAATTGTTTGAGCCTTGATGGCCTTCTTTGGTCTATATATAATTTGGAACCAACTTAGCTCTACTCACCATTTATATAGCCTTCTAGAATGATCAGGCTTGACGAGCAATGCTTTGAGTGGATGATTAGTAACAACTTGAATTGGATATGCTAGGAAGTAAGGTTGCAATCATCTTGCTAAGGCCATTAGTGTCCACAAAAGCTTTTTCTTGATGGGATACCTTTACTCTGCTCGTCTTAATGTTTTTGCTTATAACCCTTTTTCTCTAACTAGCACTGAACTAATGCATCCTTATCCACTCCTAAATACAACTGCAAGTCCTTTTGCCCAGTCTAGGACTTTGGAGTTGAGGCGATGAGAAGATAAGGAGCTTCAAATCTAGAAGGCGATCTCACATGCTTCACTCTAAGAGAATTTATTCAAATTTCTAAGCACCTTGAAGAATGATGAGTGCCTCTCTCCTAGTTTATAATGAAGTGGTTGAGTTTAGTGACTTGCCAAGTGAGTTGATGTATTTCCTTTGTTGTCCTTGACGACGACATCTATAAAATTGCTTTCACCGTATCTGGGTTCACCTTGATTTCCTCTAGGATAAGTAAGAAGCCAAGGAACTTGCCTGACTCTACATAAAAGACGCACTTTAAATGATTAAGTCTCTTGTTATACCTTTTGAGGGTAGTAAATATTTCCTTCAGGTCTTCTATGTGCTAGTTGGACGGCTTGTTCTTCGCCAGCAAATAATTTATATACACTTATATATTCCTCCCCTTCTGATCTTGGAAGTCCCTATTCATCATTCTTTGATAGGTCACCCTTGTATTCTTAAAACTAAAGGGCTTGAACTTGTAGTAATATAGTCTTTATGCAGTGATGAAGACAATTTTTTTATAGTCACCTAGGTGCATCCTTATTTGGTAATATCTTGAGAAAGTTTCAAAAAAATCTCATCATCGAATACCCCACTGTTAAATCAACCAAGGCATCAATCTTCGGTAGCGAGTAACCATTCTTTGGGCATGTTGAGTTCAAGTTAATGAAGTCCACACGCATTCTTTACTTGTCTATTACCTTCTGCACAATAACCATATTTGAGATCTAGTCTTGGTACTGAACCTCTCTATCTATTAGTTTTTGCACCTCCTGGTTTATTGGCTCGTTGAGTATGGCTGCAATTTTTCTTATTTTCTATGTTTTTGGCCATGCATCCCTCCTAACATTCAATTTATAGCAGATTATTTCTTCACTGATGCCTGAAATTTCTGTAACTGTCCAAGTGAGAGGTTGTCCTTGAGAACTTGAATGAGCTCACATATATGCTCTTCATTGAACCAAACACTTATTCTAAGGGTCCCACCTGACTTGCCTTCCATTGCAGGTGCTTCTTCAATTGTCTCCATGGTATCCAAATCTAGCCTTTGCTCCATGTCGAGTTGCAGTACTTCTTCTGTGGAAGTCGCCACTTTCCCTAGTGCCCTCAGGTAGCAAATGCACGACTAAGTTGCTTCTTTCGTAAGGCGACACCATGATTTTGAAAGTATTCAACAGGGGTTTGCTAAAAATGGCATTGTAGATGACTGAGGCGTCCTCGATAATAAAATAAACCATGTCAATATATTGGTTTCCTCCCACACTTTAGGTGATGGGCTAGATGAGTACACCCTCCGTCTATCTGCGCTCCCTTAAGAAGCCATAAAGTGGACCTATAGTGGGATTGAGTTGGGAAGCAAGGATATTTATTTTTTCTAACATAGATTTGAAAATAATATTGGCATAACTCTGTGTCTATCAGAATGCTACCTATCTGATAGTTGGTGATCAAGGTTGTGATGATGATAGTGCTGTTGTGGGGTTTTTCTCCTATAAGAGCTTGCTAGGTAGTCATCAGGTTCACTTTTCTGAATCTCTTCTTTTTCATAGTCGCTGACGAGTTGACTAGCTCTCTACCCATGAAGGAATGCCCTACTCTTGGATGTAAGAAAGCTGGGATAAGTTCACTCTTGTTGTTTTCCATAGAAGGTTTCTCTGGGTGCCGACTGGGGTTAAGCACGAACTTCTTCAGTTTTCTTGCTTTGATGAGTTCTATTAATTCTCGAAGTTGATGACACTTCTTCGTATTGTGGCCATGATCATTATGGAAAATACAATATCTTGAGGTGTTATAGTGTGTGCATTCACCTTCATTGGTGTTAAGCCTTTATTGACTTTTTGTTCTGAACAACCTCAATTAGCTCGGTCATATACGCTCTCAGTGGAGTACAAGTAGGATAAGTTTGGGGATGATGCATGACTTCTCCATGATAGAGGCAAGTGGCGTAAAGGGGCTCCTCCACTCTTGTCTTAGGTGGCCTTGCAATCCTTAATGACTTAGGTTGCAATCCTTAATGACTTAGGTTGCTGGGGAACTCCATGGTACTCTAGGTGGAAACGATCTCATGGTGGATTTAGTAGTTTGTCCCTCCTTTCTATGGACTGTCTCGCCTTGATTATTGATCTCTCGTATGGGCGAGTTCATATGGGTGAGTGGTTGTGTTGGACTTAGTACTTTCTTGCACTCTTCAGTGCAAACATTATTGTTGGCCAACTCAAATAGCTTAGCAAGTATTCTAAATTGTTGCAGGCCGAGTGCATAGCGGAAAGGACACTCTCATAGTCCTTGGGTTAGGCAGCTTGGGCGACTGCAGGTTCAAGATCTTTAACTTCAAGCATCTCTCTTTGAAACCACATTATGATGTTGCTTAGCGATTCTCCTGGCTCCTATCTCATCTTCAAGAAAGCTTGCCAGTTGTTCTGAGCACTGGCAAATAATGTTTTTTCAAACTCCGAGAAAGAGGTGATAACTTCCACTATTAGGCAAATGAACAACCTTTGTGCCGACTCCTTCAATGTTTTGAAACTAGCAACACTTGAGAGCATCATTAATATTTAGGAGGGAAGTAATTAATTCAAAAGTGGCAATGTGATTTACTCGTTCAATCTTGCCTATAGGACTCTAAGTGAGGCACTTTGAACCTGGGAGACGGCCTAGCCTCTACGATCTCTTTTGAGAAAGCATTGGTAAGTTCATGTTTAGCTCTTTTGATTTACTTGGATAGGTTTTCTCCCTTTGAACACACTTGAAAAACCCTCATAGGGCATCTTGAATCATCTTGTTCAAAGTAATGGGTGACCTAAAACTTGTGTGAGAATGGAGAGAAAACAATATGTTAGTAGAGAAAACATATAGAGAAATGCTTAAGGGGCACAAAATCTCAATAAGATAAAAGATTCAAAATATTCATTTTCACTATTTATTATAGGGATTCAAAGGTTACAGAAAATGCTACATCCAAAAGAATAAAAAATATATTGGTTGAATGACTCTTAGTATAGTCTGCTTCCTGATTGGCTGAAGTGGATAACACTGAATGACTTTTAATGATTTGTCTTTGGGTCGAGTTTAATAGTGTTGAGTAGGTTTATGCGAGTATTCTTGAGCGAGTCCATCGAGGAGTGTCGTCGAGCTGAGGGGGCCTGTGATTGGAAGGCTTTTTGGGGATTCTTCTCAATTGTTTGTTTATAAAAAAGTTTTTTTTATTTTACAAGCCAACTACAATAAATATCATATCTTGATTTATTTTTTATTTTTTATTTTTAAATATCATATCTTGATGTTTATATACACCTTCATCATTTAACTATATATATATATATATAATATTATGAAAAGTTGTTTTAAATTTTTTTCTTAGATTTATATTTGATCTTTTTTTTTTAGTTTTCAAATGCAAACAAAATGTATATCAAAATCATCATCATGTTTTCAGCCACAAAAAAATTTAAAAAAATATTGCAAGAATAGGACAAAAAAATATACATAATTGATATTCTTAATCAAATCCTACATATTTTTTTGAACTAATTATGTCACTTTCAAAAGGTATTTCTATACTAAAGTTATTACATAGAAAAATGATCTTTCATTATTACTCATTTTCATAACAATTAAAAAATAGAGAATATATATACATTGGGAGAAGATAACGTAGAAAATGCAATCTATGGTTGAGATGAATCAAGCTTTAAGAATCAAATGGTTCAAATTTAAAGAGGACATCATCAATGGTAGTTAGGGGCAAAAAGGCTTTTTAGGGGGGTAAAAAGGCTTTTTAGGTTGGCAAAACTGAATTTTTAGGAGGGGCAAAAACGATTTTTTACTCTCCTATAAGTTAAAAATTTTTTTTTGAGGGGGGGCAATTGCCCCCCCCCCCCCCCCGGGTTACATAGGGTTCCGCCCATGAATACAATACTCAAGTAGACTTCAAGAAGATGACACATTGAATCCTTCTTTAAGCGTTGAAACTTTTAATTACAAATTCTTATTTAAACTTTTTTCTGTGTCAGCATTCATACAAAATTTCTTAGGGAATGCTCTGCGGTTCTTCCAAAAAAAGAATAAATGTGGCAACTTTTAGTTCATAGTTCTATTGTGGAAAATTAAGCTCCTAGTTTTGGTTGCTCAACAAGCTTATTTATTTCTTGAATTATTTTTGGTTTTGGTTTTTAATCCTTAAATGGGGTAGAGCATTTGGCTTATTTTTATGAGGCATTAACCTATGATTACCTTTCTTATTCAGTTAGTAAAATTCCTTTTGCAGGTCTCATATGGTGGGACCTCAGTTTTTGATGAAAAGATTAAAGTTATGTATGACGAGGTCTTGCTGGTTCCTCCCACACTGCTGTTTTTCTAGTCATTGCTATTGCTTGAAAATGCAACTTATTTATTTCATTGGTGATAATTGCTTAGGTGCAGCAACTGTTGGATGAGTCTAGAAGGAATAACTTCAATATTCATGTTTCAGAGTCCAAAACATGGGAAGCAGAGAAAAAAGTGGAAGAAGTAGCTTCGAAAGTTGAACAGGTCTGATTATACTTCAATAACAGGCCTCTTCTTGTTATTAGCTCTTGAATCCTATTAGATTTGAAAAGGTTTTCAGCAGGGTCTAACATTGTGTTGCTATCATAATTTGATTTGCATGTATGCTAATGCGAAAACAAATACGAGTAAATACAGCAATTGATCGGTAGGGCCGTATGTGGCAAAGCCATATCGCTATAGTAAAGTCTAGGCACAGCACAAGCGTATGGAACGCACATTTATTGTTTGTTTGCAAATTTTTTCCATCAACCACAACAACACACTTGTCACTGTATTCAGGCCATACAGCGCGTCGCTTCCAGGGGACGCCCTAGCATTAACACAATTTCTTAAAGGATTCATGTCATTTTTGTTCGACAAGTTTTACGCTGGCTGTCGACTACCTAACGCAAATTTTTTCCATCAACCAACGACACAAAATGCACAACTGAATATAATAATAAACAATCAAACACATCAATACAATTCATTAAGTATATGTCATAACCAAATAATTTAAGGGATTGCATAATTGGTGCTTTTCTAAAAATTATTTAGACTTGAGAAAATTTGAAGGAGTGTGGAATTGAAAACTAAATTTACAAAAAAGTAAGTAGATGCAAATTGATGACCACTGCAGGACTAAATGAAAACTAGCAAGAGATAACACAAAATCTTTATGTTATTCGGCCTCCAATCAGCTTACGTCCTCGCCTAGACCTCAACTGCCTTGAATTCCACTGTACTGATTGTGCTACCTCCAGATTCGCTTCTTTCTGCGGCGGATATGCTAAAGCCTATACTCTTTCATGACGTGCAAGAGCTACTAAAAAATCTATGTTACAAAAATTTTAAAACGGGTTCCAAAGTTTTCTAAAACTTTGTAAGAAAAATAAAAATAACAATCTAACAATTTGATCTAAAAAAAGTTGATTGAGGAAAATTAGAAAAAAAATAATATAAAATGATTTTATAGACTTAATGATTGTTGAACTACTTAAACAATTACAAATGATGTTACTATGCTCAGAGCTTTGAAAGAGATTTGATGTGCTCAAAAATTAATCAAGAAGAAAGTTCTGTTTTGAAAAAAAAAATTGAGAGATTTTTCAACAAAACATTATTGGCTTATTCTTCTACTAGTCTTTCTCCATCCATATGCTTCAATATCATATTATAAGGAATTAAAAATTTAAGAAAAATATTTTAAAAAATTTTTCAAGTGGCTCAATGCTTAATAGCCAACTTATATAGCCATTAGAAATAAATTTGAGTTAAAAACCATGTTTTAAACAAAAAAAACCATATAATATGATAGATATGTAACAGTGATGAACTTTCTGTAAAGAGAAGGAAAATATGTAAATATTTCAAAATTTTGACATGAGGTTGTTGGTAGGAAATAGAATTCAATTGAATTAAAAGTGACGTTTTTAATTAAAATCATATAATCGTTTGGAATACTTTATAAATTCTATTGAAGAGCTGTTTGAAATAAATATAGTATTTTGGAAAATTTTATGAAATCCATTTGAATAGCTGCTTTAAATAAAACCATATAGCCATTTGAAATTATGTGCATGAATCATCAACTAAAAAAATGTGCAAGGCTGATATATCGATTGTTATATTGCTATATAATATAAAGGTATGTAGCCATTTAGAATTATGTGCGTGAATAATCAAGCAAAAAAGTGCAACGAAGATATATACTTTGATGTATGTTGAATATTAATTAAAACTTTAAATCTTTAATTATTTGATCAAATCTAATTATGAAGTATACACATTCTATATGATTTCAAATCTACAAAACTAGATCAATTTAATGAACCTAAAATAAAAACTAATTTTTCTGTAATAAAATAAAATTAATTTTAATTATTAAAAGATATAAAATCTATTGATTGAATTGACTCCTAAAATTTCACTGAATTTTTTAACATCCTCAAAAGCACTTAAAGTATTTAACAATTAATTTTAATTATATTTAAAAAGTATGTAATTATTTTAAATGACTTTAATCTTAATTCGTTCCTACAAAATTTGTTGATTAGAGCTTGAGGTTTAGACATCATTTTGTAATCAAGAACTTACCTACTCTAAAGACTAACTAGGATTTTAATGAGCTTTTCTCGATCAATTCTAATGATCTTTTTGAAAACAAACACGTAATCTTGAAATCACTCAAGATGAATGATTAGACCTAGTAATCATGTGATTGTTATCATAAAAAATAAACTCATACACATCATTTGTACATGGGGTGAAAAGTCTCCCCTTTTGCTGATGATAAGCTATGTTGGCTAATGATTAGGATGGGTCTGCAAAATGATATTGGTCCCTCAACTATGTTATAATTTAGTACCATAACTTCTATAATGAATCTCACCTTGAATATATGAATATGAAAGCAATTAAAATCAACTAATATTAATTACTCTCTCCCTTTTGACAACATAAAAAAGAAATGCAAATTGATGAAAGAAGAAAACATACATATTATAATGTACATTAAAAGCATATAACATTAAGTGTAAAAAGAAAAAAAAAAAAAAAAAAATTAGGATATAACATTCATACTTTTCTCTTAAGTTCATAACAACCATCTTCATTTGTAGTTTTGTGAATACAACAACAACAACATCAAGCCTTTGTCCCACTACGTGGGGTCGGCTACATGAATCCTTTTTGTCCATTGTGTCGATTAAAAGTCAAATTCTCATCTAAATCTAATAAAGAAAGATCATTTCTAATATTTACTAACCAAGTCTTTTTAGGTCTACCTTTACCTTTCTTAACATAAGCCAAATCTAATACATCAACTTTCCTAACCAATCAACTTTCCTAACCGGGTCATCAGAAGGCCTCCGATTAATGTGACCAAACCATCTAAGGCGACACTCTCTAATCTTATCTTCCATTGGAGCTACTCCAACCTTTTCACGTATATGCTCATTTCGTATCCTATCTCTAAGGGTCAAGCCACTCATCCACCTAAGCATACTCATCTCTGCAACACTTAACTTAGTATTATGCTTCTCTTTTAATGGCCAACATTCGGCACCATAAAGCATTGCAGGTCTCACCACCATCTTATAGAATTTTCCCTTAAGTTTAGGGGGACTTTCTGTCACACAATAAGCCCGATGCATTCCTCAATTTCAACCATCCAACTTGAATTCTGTTGATAATATCCCCATCAATTTCACCATCACTCTGAACAATAGATCCAAGATATCTAAAACGTCTACTCTTATTAATGACTTGATCGCCCAAAGTCACAATCCCCTCACTAGGTCTATTTTCACTAAAATTACACTCCATATATTCAGTTTTAGATCTACTCAAGCGAAAACCTTTAGACTCTAAAGTTGACCTCCATAATTCAAGTTTACCTTCAACTCCCTCTCTAGTCTTATCAACAAGAAGAATATCGTCAGCAAAAAGCATGCACCAAGGTACATCCTCTTGCAAATGTCTAGTGAGGGCATCCATGACTAAAGCAAAAAGATATGGACTTAAGGCTGATCCTTGATGTAATCCAACCGAAATAGGAAAATACTTGGTCAAACTAGCTTGTGTTTCAACACAAGTAATAGCTCTTGCATACATATCTTTAATGATTTGAATATAAGTATTATTAACTCCTTTCTTTTCAAGAACTCTCCATAACACTTCTCTTGGAACTTTATCATATGCTTTCTCTAAATTAATAAATATCATATGTAGATCCCCCTTATTCTCTCTATATTTCTCCATCAAACCTCTCAATAAATGTATGGTTTCCATAGTAGACCTACCCGACATGAATTCAAATTGATTTTGAGAAACATTAGTATCACGCCTCAACCTATGCTCCATAACTCGCTCTCAAAGTTTTAAAGTATGACACATTAATTTAATTCCTTTATAATTTGCACACTCCTGTGCATCACCTTTATTCTTAAAAATAGAAATTAACACACTCATTCTCCACTAATCTAGCATTTTTGTAGTCTTCAAAATAGTATTAAAAAGTTTAGTAAGCCAAGAAATTCCTTCATATCCTAAGCATTTTCACATCTCTATTGGAATATCATAAGGTCAAACTGTTTTCCACACTTCATTTTCTTTAAAGCTTCTCTAACCTCAATTTTACTGATATGATGATAAAAACGAAAATCTTTATTTTCATTTAGGGTGATAAAGTCACTAAAGTCAATCATATTTTCACATTCTTCATTAAAAAGTTTAGCAAAATAACTCATCCACCTTTGTTGAATAACATCTTCTAAGAAAAATATTTTTTGATCTTCATTCTTAATACACTTCACTTGAACTAAATCCTTACTACTCTTATCTCTTTGTTTGGCTAACTTATACATATATCTTTCTCCCTCCTTAGTATCTAATATATTATATAAATCATTAAAAGCTAAACTCTTTGCATCGCAAATAACTTTCTTAGATTCCTTACAAACCTATTTATAGCTTTCCCAATTATCATAATTTTTACATTTAAACCAGTTTTTTTAACAAATTTTCTTATTTTTTATCTTTTCTTGCACATTTGGATTCCACCACCAACTATTTTTACTATTAGGAGCTTTTTCCTTTGAAACTCCAAGCACATCTTTTGCAATATTCTTAATATCACAAGCCACTTTTTCCCATATAATATTGGCATCTTCATGTACAGACAGAATCTTAAGATTTAAAATCTTACTCTAAAAAATATTTTTGTTAATATTCTTTAAATGCCCCAATCTAATCTTATAATATCGTTTTACTTTATTTTTTATTATCTATCCCTTTATCTTAAAGTCCAAAATTAATAATCGATGTTGGGTACATAAATTTTCACTCGGAATAACTTTTCAATCTTTGCAATCTAAACGATCTAATTTTATTATAAGAAAATAATCAATTTGGGTTGTACTATATCCATTTTTCTAAGTGATGAGATGCTCATTTCTTTTCTTAAATAAGGTATTAGCAATTGAAAAATCACAAGCTAAACA